ATATTCAGTGTTTTTACTGTAGTCGTGTCTAAATTAACTAAATGTATTCGGTTTTAAATGTCTCGGAGCTGAACTGAGAACTGAAGCAGTTGTTTCTATTCACGACTGGTTTCAGTTTGAAGAAGATCGTTTTAAAAACGAGGCTTGTGTAGGAATTACTTAATGAAATCAGGACCAGCCTATTTTCATAAATGTAATCCAGCAAGACCTTGCAAGAAATGAAATCAGAAATAATGAAACACCCCTCTGATCATGAATGAGAAAAGAACTTGTGACCTGAACAGATNTCCACGACCAGGACGAAAACCACACTGCTCTTCCTGAATCCGAGGTTCGACTATCCGACGGACCCTCCTCTCCAGGACCCCTSAATAGACCTTACCAGGGAGGCTTAAGAGTGTGACCCCCCTGTAATTGGAGCACACCCTCCGGTCCTCCTTTTTTTTTGACGTGTCTCAATGATGTCTCATTGTTAAATCCTAGGGCTATTCAACTGGCAGCCTGCAGGCCACATCCGGCCCGTGAGGAACCAAAGTTCGACCCGCCAATTGGTCATTCATCTCAAACCCCCGGTTTTCTACTTTAACTACTCTATTTTAGTTAAACATAGACATGTTTGGTGTCTACACAAATCAGAATCTTGGCTACAAGCTGGGACAAAAATTATATGAACATTCAACTTTGAAAGTGAAAATAAAATGAGTTTAAAAATTTGGCAAGTCAGAGATGTCAAAATAATATTGGTGCTAAATAAAAGGCATAATGTGTTTTGTTTTTGATATTGTTTTATTATCACTACCTTTTGTTAAGACTCTAGTTTGAGCTCTGAAGAAATACCGAACACAGAAACTAGCTAAAAATATTTAGCAACAATGAGTAAAGGTTGAAGGTCTGGCAGGAGCCTAGTGCTGGGCTGGATACTTCTGGACACAGAGAGAAGGTTTTAGTGGTAGAACAGTACAGGGTTTGTAATCTCAGAAGAAAAAACAACCACTGACCTGGTGTTAGTTGTAGTGGTCCAGCAGTTTACGGTTAGTATCCAGGTGGATTTGGTGCTGGATCTTGACGTCACCAAAAAGATCTGCTAACTGTTTAGGTTGGTTGAGCAAAGGCAGAGTCGGAGGACAGGCAGGGGTCAAATCCAGAAAGAGAGCTTTGTTTGCCAGAACCAAGGGGCTGAGCTGAGTCCGAAAATCCATGGGACAGGCATGGGTCACAAACCAGGTGATCTGAGGTGCAGTGATGCCAGCGAGAGAAGAGACAAGAGGCGATAATCCAAAAACACAGAATTGGGGTCAAAACCAGGAGGACAGATGGCTGGACAAATCCGATAGGGGCTGAGGCAAGAGTCAGGAGACCAAAGGACAGGCAGGGGATCAGGACCACAAGACGAGAGCAAGGCATGAGGACAAGAACCGCTGGTAAGTAACAGTACAAGGCTGATGACAAACTGGCAGGGAAGTGAGGGCGAGAGCAGGAATATATACTGAGGGGAACAGGTGAGTGGAATGAGCTGATTGCAGGAGGGAGGGGGAGCGGTGAGTCAGTAATTAGCAGTAATTAGTTTATTTACATAATAATTTTAAGGATGTTCAGCCCCTCAGCCGTTGACCTGCAGTAACTGTGGCCCCCAGAGCACTTTAGTTGAATAGCCCTTGTGTTAATCTAATGTAAATGTTAAATGTTTACAGTTGAGTATTTCGAAATGGAAAGTGGTCTTCAACCAGGATTATAAAATCTGACAGATAATCCATCAATCAAACAGGATTATAAAATTCCTGTTGGAGCACAGCTCTTTATGTGATGCCATCACTCTTAAACAATAGCAACTGCTGATACTAACACTTCTATCACTGCCAATGATGCTAACAATGCCAACACTGCTGACACTGTTTACACTACTAACTCTGCTAATGCTACTGACAACGCTAACTCTGCTAACGCTGCTAACACTACTAATGCTGCTAACACTGCTATCACTGCCAATGATGCTAACAATGCCAACACTGCTGACACTGTTTACACTACTAACTCTGCTAATGCTACTGACAACGCTAACTCTGCTAACGCTGCTAACACTACTAATGCTGCTAACACTGCTATCACTGCCAATGATGCTAACAATGCCAACACTGCTGACACTGTTTACACTACTAACTCTGCTAATGCTACTGACAACGCTAACTCTGCTAACGCTGCTAACACTACTAATGCTGCTAACACTGCTATCACTGCCAATGATGCTAACAATGCTAACACTGCTAACTCTGCCTACTCTGTTAACTCTGATAAAAGGTAAATAACTTATAGAGCTCTTTATCAAGTCCCTATGGACCCCAAAGCGCTTTACACTTACAGACATTCACCCATTCACACACAGAAGATGGTAAGCTACATTGTAGCTATAGCTGCCCTGGGGCATAATGAAAGAGGTGGGGCTGCCATGCACCGGCGCCACCGGACCCTCTGACCACCATCAGTAGGCAAGGTGGGTGAAGTGTCTTGCCCAAGAACACAACGACTGAGACGGCTGGACGGGGGATCGAATGGGCGACCTTCCAGTTCCAGGACAACTCTCCTAACCACTCCACCACAGCCGCCCAATACTGTCCCTGATAATTCTGCTAACACTGCTAATGCGGCTAACACCGCTAACACTGCTAATGCAGCTAACACTGCTAATGCGGCTAACACTGCTAACTCTGCTAACGTTGCTTGCGCTGTTAACTGCTGAGGACCGTGGGCTGGCTGTGGTTCCTGGACTTTGCTGGCCAGATGGAATTGATCTTGGAGAGACTGATAGCTCTGCAGAATTTGTCCACACTATTTGTCCGATTGGATTCACCACATTGAGTTGTACCAGCGGACATGAAGGCAGGTGGAAAATTGTTATTGTCTGTCTGGCTCTAAACATTCTCTTCTGTTCCCAAATAACTGATTACAGAATTTGGTTGAACACTTAACATCCATATTCTGGACTATGGCTGCGCGGGTTTTGGGGACTCAATTCTTCGGGCTCATTTTTCAGATATTCACACAAGTGCATACAACAATCGTGGCTTCAGATACACACCCCCCTAAACTCACTTACTCCTCTGGCTAATAAATGTGCTCTATGCAGAGTTTTTTTTTTAATAAACACCATAGTGTCTCACATTGTTGATATAATATGATGTTTTGTTTTTTCCTCATCTTTCCTTGTGTGGTTTTTAGTTTTTTTTTTTTTCCCTTTTTGTTAAAGGTAGCGCAACTGTCTCTGTCTCTGTTGCTGCATGACCTGTACACCTGTTCCCCCATGTTTTGTCTTGTGTGTCTTCTTGAACGCGTGTTCTTAACTGTTTGTACAGCACCTTGTGAATTTGTTTCTGTGAAAGGCGCTATATAAATAAAATTTTACTTACTTACTTACTTACTTACTTACTTAC